AGATCTTGCTCGTTGTCCTGGCATAGGAGAGCGCAAGGTTTCTTTCTTTGCCATCTAGATTATGTTTTTCCCTAGGAAATGATGATTGGTTTTGCCAATTATCTTTTTTCCTTGAATCTGTTCAAGTGGATAGGAGGTAAAACCAAATAGGATTATATTTTAAGATCATATAAGCCATGGCCCTGTTTGGAGATATTTGAAAACTGATGAAAGCACTTATTCCATTTTCAAAAGCAACATTTTGTTGCTTTTATTGAAATAAAAAGGGAAAAGGGGCAAATAAGGCCACGTACTAACCAAAAAAGGTCAAATAAGGCCTTATTTATGAGGCTCCATCCGGCCTTCGCCATTTGGGGTGATTCTCGGTGGAATTTTTTGATGAAATTTTTGGACCATCTTATTCATTAAGTCTAGTTTACTCATACCAAATTTCAGCTAACAATTCAATCGGGAAGGTATTCAAATGAATGTTGGAAGATAACTGCGCTTTTAACTGCGCAGTGATCTTCAAGAATTCATTTGAATGCCTTCCCGATTGAAGTTTTAGCTGAAATTTGGTATGAGTAAACTAGACTTACTGAATAAGATGCTCAAAAAATTTCATCAAAAAATTCGACCGGGAACCACCCCAAATGACGACGGCCGGACAGAACCTCTTAAATAAGTCCTTATTTGACCTTTTTTGGTTAGTACGTGGCCCTTATTTGCACCTTTTCTCAAATAAAAATGACTCTCTGCAATTGCTTTTATTTATTTTAATACTCTGAGATCGTTTTGGCAATAATACTAAGTACAAACATAAGCTTGTTAGTGACACAGTACATTGAATTATGTCTTGATGGGTCTCATTTTGCTTTGTATTCATTGGAATTTTGGAATAACTGTGCACCTTGTATGTTACAACCTCACTAGCCTTCAATTATGTGCAGGTAAAACGCCTATATGATACTTTCCATGAACCCTTCCAGCGTGAAGTGTCTAAACATGCAGTTCCTGAAGTGGCTGCTAATGAAAATACGGGGCCAAGCTCTGTCACTCAAGGGGACAAAGACGAGATAGAAGTAGAAGATGTGAAGATGCACAGAAACAAGGAACCTGACATAACAATCAAGACGGCACTCTCAGCTGCCTTTGCCAAATATTCTCATAGAAAAAAGAATAAATCACAACAGAAAGATGCTGAAGGGTTGAACACCTCCACCCCAGAAGCAAACAGCAAAGGTAATAATGATGAATGAGCCTGATGGAGTTTGTCAACCATTCAAAGTAGACCAACCAATTCCAAGAAGCTTCAAGGGGGGATTGTCCACAGACCGCAAGCGGTCACCAGATTATAACGTATTTCGTATGTCGACTAGTACACTGAAATGTGGGACCTTAAAATGTAAATTTAAAAAAGAAATTGGGATGTGATTAGCTGAACACACTTGGCAATTAGCATCATCATAGATTTATTTTGGCCAAATCCTCCCGACGACCTCACCCATATAGTAGCCTTCCCATTCCAAGTATCCAAAAGTGCTATCTCCTTGAAGCCTTCCAAGAGGCTGCATGCCAATTTCAAATCCAGTTAACTTCGAACAAGAAGCTGCATGTGCCTACTAAATACTAATAATGCACTTTTATGATATATGTGTAAATTAAAAATTATGTGCAATAGAGTATTAACCAAGTCTCTTAGGGTCTGTTTGCAACAGCTTCTGCTTTTAAAAAAGTGTTTTTTTTAATGAAATGGGGAGAAGTGATTAAATAAAAGTTGATAGTGTTTGAGAAAAAAGTGATTTTGAAAAGTAAAAGTGGGTAGTGTTTGGTAAAATAAGTGCTTTTTGTGTAATAGAAAAAGTAAAAACACTTTTGACGCGGAAGCCGAGAAAAATAAAAGTTGTAGTGTTTGGAAAAATAAGTGCTTTTTTAAAGCCAAAAGCTGAGAAGTGCTTTTTTAAAAGCAGCTGCAAACCAACCCTTAGATGTGGTTAGGTGTGAAATTTGAGAATATGATTTTCTAATTCATTTTCAAATTTATCATTTAGCGTATTAGATGATTTTAGGATTACCTGTAAAGATATTTTGATATTTCAAAATGTTTATTATGTACGATAAAAAAAATGTTTATTATGTATAATATACATGACCAATAATGAATTAATTAACCATGACTTTATATTTCTAATTTTCTTAAGAGTTTTTTCTCAAATATTACTTAAACAAAATTAATGGACAAATTAATGGGAAAAATATCAAATAGGTCCTCAAACTTTCATAAAAAGGTCAAATAAGTCCTTATATAGGAGGCTCTGTCCGGCCATCGCGATTTAAATGCGCAGTTATCTTCAAGAATTAATTTGAATGTGTTCTCGATTAAAGTTTTAGCTAAAATTTGGTATGAGTAAACTAGACTTGATGAATAAGATGCTCAAAAAATTCAATCAAAAAATTCCACCGGGAACCGCCCCAAATCGCGGCGGCCGGACAGAGCCTCCTATATAAGGACTTATTTGGCCTTTTTATGAAAGTTCGAGAACCTATTTGACAGTTTTCCCGAAAAAATATGATTTAAGTTATTGCAAATGTATGTCAAGAAAACGGTCAGTTCAGTACATGAACTTGCACTGTGTGGAGTAAAGAGTACTTCATCTTGCAAGTCAAATGTGGTGGTACATATAATCGTCGAATTAGTGCTAAAGCAGTACATCACTTAGATTGCAACGTTACCTTTGCTGAGGTGGCTAATGGTACATGTGATGAGTAAAAAAACAACAGAAGCCATAATCGAAACAAAGGTATGCTACTGTATTACATATGCATCATTAATGGCGTATGTATGTGTATAGCCTTCTGTATTATGTAGAAGTTATTAGCAATTGATAGGTGGAAGGTTATGTATATGACTTCAATGCACATTGTCTTTTTCAAAATTGGTGGTTGTATGAGTAAAGTGTTCTGAATATTTGTCCTAAGTACATGTCTTTGGTAAAAACATTTACTTTAAACTTTAACATATAGGTTATCTCCTAAGATATTTGTTATATTTGTCCTTTTATTATTGTTGGTTAATTGATTATTCATTTATTTTGAATAGATAACCAATGGATAGTTATGACCAAAGAGGGACTCCAAATGCTAACTCGGAATGTGACAGTGTTATGCACATGCCTTTTGTTGTTGATTTGGGATTTCAAGATCCCCTTCTTGAGGCAGAAACTAGCCTTTTATTTGAAGAAGTAAACTCAAAAAATGAAGATGATGAAGAGTTACAACAAGATCGAGTTCTACTGAGGAAGCTAGTAACAAAAGAAAAGACTGGTGCCAGAGGTGATGGGCAGAAATAAGATAACAAAAACATAATTAAAGAACAGTTGACTGGGGAGGAAGATGGCAATGAAACTGAATATTTCAGTTCAACTGATGAAGGGAGTTACAAATCCAAATCAGATGCTGAAGAAGAAGGGATTGTTAGCAAAAAATCTAGATTCCCAAGTTTCATACCAACTGACAAGGTTGAGTTCACATTGGGAATGAGCTTTGAGTTGAAGGCTTAAGTTAAAGATGCAATGGATAAATTTTCTGTGACTAACATGTATCCCTACTATTGGGCTAAAAAATTGTTCGTACGTGCTTAGGGCTAAGTCTTCTAATTTAAACAAAACATGTACTTGCATGACCTACTTTGGCATAAACAATAGAAGCAACAGTAAGAACTGGGCCCTAAAAACTATAACAGTGAACACACTTGCAACCCGGGCTGACAAATACCTAGTGCCACAACCAAATGGTTAGTGAAGAATTTTTTCTGCTCTAAGCCCGGTGTAGCTGACATGAAGGTGGCTTCAATGAAAGAGATGGTTAAGAAAGAGCTAAATTGTGACGTTTCTCTTGAGAAAATGAGGAAGGCTAAGTCATTGATTAGAAAACTCGAAAAGGGAGACATAAAGGTTCAGTACAAAAACTTGGATTGATATAAAGCTGAAATTCTAAGGTCAAACCAGGGGAATACCTGCATCCTCACCCTGTTGTAGCCTAGCCTTGTATTTGACAGGCTTTATGTGTGCTTCCATGCCTGCAAGAAGGAGTTCCTGGAGGGGTACAAGAGACTCATAGGAATAGATCAGGCATTGTTGAAGTCTGAGATCAAGGGTGAAATTCTCACAGCATTTGCAAGGGATGCAAGCAATCAAATGTTCCCAATTGTGTGGGTTGTTGTTGCTTCGTAGACCAAAGCCACTTGGAAGTGATTTCCGGAGAACTTAAGATATCTAAACATTGGAAGAGGCACTGGATGAGCTTTTGTTTCATATTAACAAAAGGTGCCACTAACTTTTGACTATTTGGCATTTTGTCTCTCATATAACCAATATCCTAATACAAACTTATTTAATATTTACCTGATGTTGAACATAGAAGATATGTTAGGCACATATATGCCATTTGGAGAAGAACTCATCGTAGTCTGATGCTACAAAGGTAGTTTTGGAAGTGCTACAAATATGCCTTTAAAAGATAATCTGAGCAGAATCTTGAGGTACTAAAAGTTCTTTCTCGAACTGCTCATGAAGATATTCTCAAGGTAGATCCTAAGTTTTGGTGCAGAGCTTTCTTTAATAGAAGTATAAAATGTGAAATTGTTGATAACAATCTGTGTGAGACTTTTAATGGGGTGATTACTCCTGCTAGATCTTTGTTTGGGTATACTTAGTTGGAATACATAAGGAAGCTGGTGATGCAGAAGCTTATAAAGAATAAGAATATAGGTGACAAATGGGTTGGGGAGTTAGGTCCTAGAATAAGGAGGAGGGTAAATAAAATTGTTGTGGCAAGTAATAATTGAAGGGTGTTGTTTAATGGCTATGATGGATATGAGGTCTCATGTAGGTCAGACACTTATCAAGTGGATTTGGAGAACAACAGTTGTTTGTGTGAGCAATGAGATGTGTCTGGAATTCCTTGCGAACACGCCATGTGTGCCATTAGGGATAAAGGCCATAGAATAGAACATTATATATCCCAGTGGTATAAGAAACACATGTACTCCCATACATATGCTGAAATGATGACACTCATTGTTGGGCCTCTTTTCTGGCCTAAAAAAATGTTGAAGCTTTGTCTGCTCAGTTGAAGAAAAAAAAGAAATGCGGAGGCCAAGGAAAAATAGAATCAAACAAATAGGTGTGATCCCTAGGAGTGGAAAGTTACCCAATAGAGGAACAAGCACTCCCTGCCAGCCGTGTTTCAAAAAAGGCCATTACAAAAAAGGGTGTCCCTCCAAAGACCAAATCTTGCAAGGGGATACAACAGTGTTAATGTAAATGTGTGCTTGTAAAGGACTAAATGATTTTTTTGTTGGTAGGCAACTGAAAGTTCTTCTGGACCCCCACCCACCCAATGTAGAGGATAAGACATTGTGCGCAAATTTCACTTAAAATGAAGATAGAGATGAGAGACCAACTGATCATGTATTTCAGCGGAGGGGCCAAAGCTCCATAACTTCTGCTGATTTGGAGGTATAAAACCCATGAGAGTAGTGTTTGGTTTTATGTTTTTGTGGGCAGAGTAGTTTGGTTAAAAACAGGCTACATTCCTTAAGTTTTTTTTATTCCAATTCAAGAAAAAGAAAAGCTACAGGATTGAATGCTACTAGGGTGTCCACAACCACTAGAGAGAGATTCAATACTTTGTTTGACTGCATGGAAGAAGGCCCTGAAGTGTAGTGTAGTCGTTGATACCTGCAAGAAATGAATGCATTGTTTTTGTTTGTATATTATTGATAGATTATTTAATTCTAGAGAGAAGGGAGAGCTAGAGAGATAAAGTGATATGTATAATGAATTCCAATCAACCATCCAATCCTTTACATGGCTCCCATAGGGAGTATTTATAGGAGAAAAGAGGGTTGGGCTTCCAGGCTTGGGCCTGGCTGGCCCAGTTACAATAAAAGGCCAATAAATGGCTAATAAATGATATCTAATCTGTTCTAATGGATATACATGAATAAAATAGAGTGTACAATGAGATAAATGCTATCTACTGAGCGTATGTGGGCCGCTGTCCGGGCCCAATAGTCGTGAGACCCGGGGGTCCGAGTCTATATACTCTATCAATTACCTTTCGTTTTTCTTAAACATTCTCCCTTGATTTGGTTTATGTTACACAATTATGGTGTGTGGGAGCAGAAGGGTAGTTGGATTATGTTACATTTGTACCTACTCCATTTTGGAACTAAAATGTATGGTGCTTGGTCTCTATGTTTTTGCCTACTTCATGTGTGTTTTGAAGTAGTAATGATTGTATGGTTATTTGTGGTACATGATACCTGCACAAACTTGGCTATTTTTGTACATTGGATGTCTACATGTATATGATGTTTCAATGTTTTGTGCTATTAAAAGGTTAGTGATGGTAGTGATTGTATAACACAACTCATCTGCTAAAGCAAATGCAGTAATGTAATTATACTACCGCTGTTTCAAAATCCCGTAAATCTTATGCTCCAAACGGATCTTATAAGTTTAGGTCATGTGGAAGCTATTTCATAATCATAATTGTATAACCACCATAGTTGGAACTGCTTATTGTCCGATCTTGAGAACAATGTGAAGTGGTTGAAGGTTCAATAGCAT